ATATTGTTGGCAATTTGATTAACTTTGTAGGTTCTCAATTATAAAAGTAATTTTTGTTATGAATTTGTTTTGTTAAATTTGTAATTTTCCAAAATTTTCTAAAACCTTAGAATTTAAGTTAGGGATTTATGTGGGAGAAACTATATTCTGCAAGGCTTAATGGTCACAAATTTCAAACTTAAGGGGGGTGGAGTAAAAAAAAAGGGGGTGCGGGTTTCAGGAGTATAAACTCCCCGATTTCCCCATTCTTCTTTTCTTCTTCTTGTTTTGAAACCCTAACCCATCCCCACCATCCTCAATCCGTCACAACCATTCTCCATCCTTCACCAACTCCCATCACCAACTCCACTCCAAACCCTCTCACCCACATCTCATAAATTCCCTAAGTAGTAGCTCATTGTTCCCCACTCCACCAAAGTCGCGTGTTGCCTTCAACAGCCTTGGGTTTCTCTTTTCGGCAAGCAGATGCTAGCCCCTCTCAAGTTCTGGCTATCTCTGCCTTTTGGGCTTCCATTTTAGGAGGAATTGTCTCTCTCACTCACAATTTCTAGTAAAAATTGAGCATGAAACCAATCTCGTTCTTTCTCAAATTTTGGTAGAATTAGTTGAATATTGACCATTTTAAATTTGGGGAAATGGCATAGGATTTTTGGGTATTCTGTTTCTTATCTTTTTAAAAGATTGTGACAGTGTTTGTCTAGTGTTTTGTTGTTGTTCTGCTTAGATTCCCCTCCTGTTTTTGCCAAAATTTTACTATTCATGCAAAAAATTATGCTGCATTTTTTCTGCAGTTTAAAGCCAATTGTCATCCATCTACTTTAATATTTTATTTGTTCTTGTCCCTTTACTAAGGACATGTTCGTTGTCGTCCCTCTACTTTACCAAAGAGCCAAAACGTCATCCCTCTACTTTGCTTTTTTTGTGTTGGAGAAATAGGGGATTAGAAATGAGATCATTAGATCATTGGCTTCAAGGTGTGCTACAAATGCCACTTTCTTTTAGGCTAATTTCTCACCCACCAAATCTAGTATGCAAAAGGGGTAACCTGAAATATCCATAGGATACAATGAAGCGCCTTGTTGATCCCACCTTTGCACTAGCAAGATCAACCACTGAACCATCCTTTGGAAAGCGATAAAACAATAGTTTTTGTATAGGGATTTCTCGAGCAATCACAATACAAAAAAGGGCTATTTTATTTAGATATTTCTAGGTTCAAAAAGACTCAACTAGAGAAGAAGAGATAACTCCATATTTATAGGGCAAGATGTCTCTTGGAATAGACACTTCTTTTTCAAGATGTCTGTTGGGAACAAACACTTTTTTTCAATTTTTATCCGTTGAAAACTCTTCCAAAAGTCATTTGATTTAATTTGAATTCCAACTCATGTGTTTCCTTGCCTTCTAAAGTTATCCACTCTCTTTAGAAACTTATCAGAATTCTATCTCTGATTTTTGACGTAAATGGTTCGAACCAGATAAATGTGGTTCGAATCAAAATCGTAAATTTTCGGATTCTGGTTTTACATAAATGGTTTGAACCATATAATTATCATTCAAACCAAAGTTACACTTTCTCAAATGCATTATGTGCAATTGCTTCAAACTAATTTTTTGTGGTTCGAACTCAAATCCTGGAAATATTTTGAAAATTCTTCAACATTCCCCCACTATTTTCAAAATAGAATAGCCCACCAATTGTTTTGGAAAACTTATGCATACATGAAGGTATCTTACGATTTGAACCTTTCACTTAGTGAACATGTGTTGGCAAATTAATCAGAATTACATGGTAGACTAATGCTTTGAACCAGCGATTCTAAGTGATTAATTAGGCACATGTCACACACAAGACTTCAAGCTTTCCAAAAAAGGAATCCAGCATCCATCGACACAAAAACTGGCCATGTCTCCTGTATCCTTTTCATAAGTGCTATTAGAGTCAAGTCCCCAACTCCTAGAAGCGGCACCACTTCCACTCATATAAGTAGATCCCATCAAAAGTGCCACCGCATTAAGCACTTTAACAGAAATCTGTTATAGTACCTATTAAGAGTAAAACTCAACCTCCTCTTTATTTCATACGGTTACCAAGCACTCTTCCACTTGAGATGGTATTATTAATAAATTGAGTACTTGCAGTCATATTCATATAATGTACTTTACTCATTGAACTTAAGACTTGAAGTTTTTATCAAGCATTAAGTGGAGGTTCCATCATGTGTGACTTTGTCAATGGACTTGAGACCTATCCCTCTCTTTGTCTTGTGAATTTTCCTTTGATAATCCTTTTAATCAAGGATTCATGAAGTTAATTCACACAAGACCTTGCAAAGATTAGGGTGATCACCTCATTTAAGAATTGATTATTTCCATGTCTACATTTTATGACAACAAGCCTACTGTCATATAGACTTCTTTGTAAGCACTTGATGACATTCTATTATTTTTAGTCATCGTACACATTCATATAAGAATGTCTTAGAATAATTTGAACTCTTGAAAAGTGTAGACATCTCCACAAACAAGTGCTATCACTTTTAAACAATGCCATATAAGTTTGTAATATCATGAACAAGTGGAATTCTTGCTTCCTCCATTTCAAATTAAATTTTATTTGCTTTTCATGTGTCAAGGACTTTTAGTCCTTATTCCCCACTTTTGGGATTGTTCCCATTATTTTAAATGACATCAATATTTCTCATGAGAGACATATCAGGATAAATTCTGATTTTATCAAAAATAGTTCAATTCATATTAATACGGTTCGAACCAAGTTCCTGATACTTTATGAGTTTCCTGCGTAATTAGTTTGAACCAACTTTAAGTGATTTGAACTAAAATTCTAGAACAACTCAAATCATTAGATTTATTTTCCATGACCAAGAGCTATTCACTCTTGCTGTTTATAGGATTCTTTAAATCCATATTTCTTTATCTTTAGGACCATTTTTCAGGCTTCCAAAAATCAGTCAAGTGCACAAGGTTACACTAGTTTCTACAAATGATCTCATTAAGAGATAACATCTAAACAAGGATTCAAAATCCTTCATGCGTTATCAAAACTGAGAGCCTTTTTACTTGACTTGTCTTCTCTTAG